TTTTTAAAATGTTTAAAACTATTTATTTTATAAGAAGGGTTACATTACATTATTGTGCACAACAAAACATAATGAAATGATATTTATGGAATCTGAGAGTAGATTTTTATGTAACCAAAAGTCATGTTTAGTTAGTTATCATATTAATTTATTATATATGATGTAATTACTAATATATTAATAATAATATATCCATTATTTTTATATTACTAATATAGTAATTTTTATTTGCTAAGTGGTTATCAATTATTAACTACTTAATATATAAATTTAAGATTATTATTTATGTGTACTCAAAACAAATTTTCATAAATATAACTAAACATGATTTCACTTTTTTATTATAGTTAAAATAATCTCTTACCAAATGAATTTTAGAATCGGTCCTCCCATGATTCTCAAAACAATCTCATTTTTACTTTTATACTCAAAATAAAACCATTTTAAAAACATGTATCAAACGGGCCCTAACTTTCTTCTTTTTATTTTTTTAATCTAGCTTTTGTGTTTCCTTTTTCTCGTGTCTTTTTGTGTACCCTTAAAGACTACATGTGAAAAAAATATACTATGTGATATTTAATTTACGTAACATATTTTTATTTGATATGATATTTTAATAATTGACATGACATAATATCACGGGAAGATATAAAATAAATAAAAAAGAGAATTGTGACATAAAAGTTTACTTTTTCCCCTCATATTAAAGTACATTGATTTAGTTAGATAGGTATCAAATAATCTCCTAAAACACTAATACACAAGTATTTTCTTTTTCAAAATAGTTCCTTTTTAAAAAAACTTAAAGATAAAAGGAAAAGAATTATGAAACCACTTTTAATCCAATAATTTGTTGCCTTTTTTTTTTTTTTTTTTTTATTTCTATAGCGCCCCAGGCCTTGAATTATGAAACCCCTTTTAATCCAAAAATTTTTTTCCTTTTTTTTTTTTTTTTTTTTTATCTCTATAGCGTCCCAGGCCTTGAGGGAATATTCAGGCCGGGCCTGATTGACCATGAAAATGGGAAGGTCGAGCCAGCCCGACTGGGCCTGAAAATAATTTAGGGCTTAAAGTATATATCGGCCTAGTCCGGCCCATGGATTAGGGCCGGGTCAGGTTCGGGCTCAAGGCCAACAATGACGGGCTTAGGACCGGCCGGTTTAGCCTAACCTAAACTTACAGCTCTAGTAGTGTCACAATGACATGTGAACCCATCACTTAGCCCACCTCTTCCGTCCAAATCTAGTTTGAAAGAGAGAGAAAAAATAAGAAGGAGAGACATGAAAAACCAACGTTTTTCTTTTCCGTCTTAATTTTATATTTATAAAATGTATCTATTTGATTTGTTATTAAATTACAAAATTTGTTGAGGTGTATCTTTTGTTTACAATTATATGGTGTTTTAGTATTTTTATTATACTTGAAAAGAAAATCTAAGGTGTTAAAAATGTAATCACCCAATTTAATCAGGTTTAATACGTTTCTAAAATGTATAAAACTATTTATTTTATAAGAAGAGTTACATTATTTTACTATGCACAATCAAACACAATAAAATGATATCGATAGAAATTTGAGAAAATATTCTTATATTATGCAACTAAATAATATATGATTCATATTGTTACCGCATACCAAACGTCCTTTTGGTAACTCCACTAGTGATATAAAGATTTTGGTCGCCAAAGGAAAAAAAAATGTTCCATTGTTGACTGTAGTGGTGGTTTTCATGTTATTAATTATCAGAATGCATTGTGTCACCGGAATTATTTTAGTATATCACATTTTTTTTATTTCTACAATTCTTTTTGTTTTAGAAAAAATCTGGTTTTAGCTCACAACATATCACTAGACAAAACTCACAACTCGTCATTTCTCGGGAAAAAAAAAAAACTAACAAATCTTACACAATATAAGCATTTCACACACACACACACACGAAACAGGAGCCAACCCACAACATAGCTTAACTTTTATCCCACTCAAACTTTAGGTGCATAAAAATTAAGTAGGTTCATTTGTACAATTTAAGTCATGATTTAAATTGTGTATATGAGAAAAAAACACTGTAACAAAAAAGTTAAATTTGAATTTTTGTAAGAGAAAATATTGTAACAATATGACTTGAGTCATGAAATGAATAATACTTTCTTTTTTTTTTCTCTTTAATAAATTGATAGAGGATTTTGAGAAAAATTTAGCACATCTCAATTAAATGGCGGACAGACAATTTTTACTTTGACATAAAAGGTAGTTAAATCTAGGCAATGTTGTATATTCTATGTTGTATAGGATATTTTTTTTGGCAAACAAAAGTTGGTTAATATGAAAAAAGGTCGGTTAATAGGTATAACATATTCGTAATTTCCCTAATAAAATAATCGCGGTAATTTACATTTGACATTTATTTCTCTTTGCAAACAGTTCCAATTTTTTCTTGAGGCCACGACGAACATTTTCAAGCTAATTATATCTGCCCACACTCTAGAAGATTTAAAATACTGTAAAAGATGTGCCTAGTTAGGCCAACAAAAAGTGTGTATTAGTATGAAATCATAAAGCCAGTTACCTTTCATGTCCATTGTGTGCCTCATTCCTAAGACATGTCAAGTCATTAACCTTCTATTGACCAAAAGATTATGCACAATCTTAGAATGTGCAAAAAGAATCCAAATATATCTCCACGTTTTCCTTTTATTTTGCTTCAAGAATAATTAAAGTGCACCACTTTTGGGTTTAGAGCTAAGAATTAGATGCCACCACGATGCCTAAGAATAAGTTTTTAAGAATTCTAAAGAAACAACACGTTTTAGATTCAACTTTCGCTTTTCTACTGCCAACGGGGAAGAAAAAGAAATTTCTCTCATAAGATTGGAAAAATTAATTATCAATTTTTGTGATTTTTCAGCCATCATATATCTATCAAAAAATGTTTGTTCTATATATATTTTTAATTTAGTGTGATTTTGATTAAATACAACGATTAAAAACTGATTCAATCGGTAGACCGACTTATCAAATAAGGTCCCAAGAAGAAAATGCCCTTTCTAGATTAATGACTTGCTTTGTTTTTGCCATCTCCTTGAAACAAAAATGTTTAGGATATTTATTTTTTTTATTATTATTATTATTACTATTATTATTATTATTACTATTATTATTATTATTATTATTATTATTATTGACTAAATAAGAAAGGAAGAAAGAAAAAAAAGATACATTACAGTCACATTCATTTCACCGATTCAAGTTTTGTTACAGTAAAAAACTCTCATAAATAATCACATCTAATTTTTTTATTATAATAAAAAATTATAACATAAAATTACATCTAAAATCAAACTAAACGGCGTTATATACTATTCAAACTGGGCATGAATATGGAGACGCTCGCTCTGATTTTGACTATTCATATATATAGTATTATAAGAAAAATATACATGGGTACAACCGTACTAAACACTACATTTATTTAACGTGTGTCCACGCAAGCCTCGTAATTTCAGATCCACCATCTGTCAGTCTATGTAGACCCACCGGTGCCTCTGTTATTTTTTTTATGATACAAAATAAAATAAGAAATAAAAAAAAGGAGACAGTACATATTATTTGGTTACTGTAATCAAATGAATCGAAAAAAAAAAAAAAAAATTATCAGTGTATCAAATATTAGGCATGAATATAGGAAAGAAAATGCCCTTTTAAGATTGGTGACTTGCTTTGATTTTCCAACTTTTTGTACGTTGAAATATAGATATTTCGTCATAAAATAATTAAACACAAAAATGGATCAGATAATACATATTAGATTTCGTATCTATAATTTGCCACATATTTCATAAAATCATTTCACTTTAAGGGACGAATTTTTTAAAATTTAATTTTGAGCTTGTAACCATGTAATACCCCAAATTCAAAACGTAATATTTGCTTCCTTCAATATCGCAACAAAATTAATCATTCTGTTAGTTTAAGCATGGAAGTTGACTGGCGTTGAACTATAGAGTGGAGATGTTAAATAAAATAGGCATAGTTACAAAGCTACCCCAACAATCAACGCTTCCTTGATAAATTCATTCTATTATCGTTATTAATTCATATGAAACGAAATAATTCAATATAAGCAGTTTGTAACTCGCATCTTCTTTTGTCTTCTTTTCTCATCTTCATCTTAAATTTTGACAACTTTTCCATTGAAGAGGCTGATCGTGACCTATTCAAGAGACTTGTTTATTTTATTGGATTATTACTACTGGTACCCTCATAAATTTAAAAATTATAATTTTACCCCATAAATTTTGAATTGTTTCTATTTAATCCCTTTTATTGTAATTTCTATTATAACAAATAGAAAGAAAAAAAGAGTAATGTAGTCATATAGTCTTTTTATTTGAAAATCTATTAAAAACAAACAGATAAAAACCAGATAGTCATACTTAATTCCTTATTTTTTCATATGATTTTAACGTAAATTCTTATAAAAAAGCTTAAAAGGGACAAATTCAAAATTCAAAATTCAAAAGGCAAAGTGAGAGTTTTAAATAATTAAGAGATAAAATGGGAATTACCTCAAAGTTTAAGGGCGCCAGTAATATTAATCCTATTTTATTTAATGTTTTTTAGTTTAGTATTTTCATAATGAGTAAAGATAAATGTTGCCCACGTCTTCGATCTTATTCTAAGGTCAGTAAGAACAATATAAAAAAATAAATTTGTGGGAGCTAAGTAAAATATAAAGAGCTCTTTAGCTTAAAGAAAGGCTGTTCCATCACTGACCAGACTAAACGATTTTCGGAGTTCAAAAATCAAGTTATCATGTACTAAACAGTTATAAAAGGAAACCAATCAAAATAAAAATAACTTACCCCGCATGATCCTCGTCACGTTCCTCCTGTCTTTCTCTGTATTATCCAAATACAATATATATAATTGACTGTGGATAAGATCATATATATAGTTATATAATTCACTCATATCTTTTACACCATTTTCAACTCCCTCAATTTCGCTTTCATATTTTTCTTCCCCCAATTTTATGTTCTCACCCATATCAAGTCAACTCCAAAGTCTCGGTATTATCATTATATCTTAATGTGTCTATATATATGGACTCAAATCTCCAAGCAAACCCCAACACATGACGTATATTTAATTCGAAGTTCTACTATTCTCCTTAACAAACAAAACACTCATTTTCTCCCCATATCAAAACACCTCAAAAATGGTGGTCGCCGGACCAGGAACCGCCGGCGCCGGGGGCTGGGGCACCGCAAAGGGGTTGGCTGTCCAGGTCCTGACCGGGCGGTGGTTCATGGTGTTTGCGTCGTTACTGATCATGTCGGCGGCCGGAGCCACCTACATGTTCGGGCTCTACTCTAGCGAAATCAAGGAGGTTTTGGGGTACGACCAAACGACACTGAACTTGCTGAGCTTCTTTAAGGACTTGGGCTCGAACGTCGGCGTCCTCTCGGGGCTCATCAACGAGGTGACGCCGCCGTGGGTGGTGCTCTCCGTCGGCGCCGTCCTCAACTTCTTCGGTTACTTCATGATCTGGCTGGCCGTTTCGAAACGGATCGCCACTCCTAAAGTTTGGCACATGTGCCTCTACATATGTATCGGAGCTAATTCCCAGTCTTTTGCTAATACAGGTACATATGAAACAATTTCCAATATATATATATATATATGTATGTATATGATATTTGGTCATGTTATACAACAATCCAATTTAATCCGGTTAATGCTTGTTCATATAGTTTGAAGCAAAAAAGTCTTTCATTCGTACTTTCTTGAATAATAGGAGACATATTATAAAGGTCTCTTTTGTAAGTTTCTGTTGCAGTTATATGACTCATGGTTTAGCTCTATTTAAAAACTAGAAATCTTGTAACATGTTATAACATTTGATTTGCATGACAAGTTTCAATCGCATATAATATAAATACGTCCGCTTATATACTAATTGAAGAAATATAAGATTTTAATTGGTAATTTGTGCATCTATGACTAATGGCCATAGCTCTATTTACTAATTAGAAATTTTGTAACACGTTACAAATATTGAATTGCATGACATTTAACTAAAAATGGACGAAATGAATATAAACAGGTTCACTGGTGACGTGCGTGAAGAACTTCCCGGAGAGCCGCGGCGTGGTGTTGGGTATCCTGAAGGGTTACGTCGGCCTGAGCGGCGCGATAATCACGCAGTTGTACCACGCCTTATACGGCGATGATTTGAAGTCCTTAATCCTCCTCATTGGGTGGCTGCCGGCCGCCATCTCCTTCGCCTTCCTCCGTACAATCCGCTACATGAAGGTCATCCGCCAAGCCAACGAACTCAAAGTCTTCTACAACCTTCTCTACATCTCTCTCGGCCTTGCCGGATTTCTCATGATCATGATCATCATCCAGAAACAAGTCGTCTTCACCGGGGCCGAGTACGGCGCCAGCGCCGCCATGGTCATTTTCTTGCTCTTTCTCCCCATGACCGTCGTCGTTCTAGAAGAGTATAAGCTCTACCAAAGTAAAAAATTCGACATCAACAACAATGATCCCGAGCGCACCGAATCATTATCTCTCCCTCCTCCCCCACAAAACGGCGCCGTAACGGAAAAGGAATCAGAGCCGGAAACCGAACCGGAACCATCCTGCTGGACAACAGTTTTCCAGCCTCCAAACAGAGGGGAAGACTTCACAATTCTCCAAGCTCTCTTCAGCGTGGACATGCTGATTCTGTTTTGCTCGTGTATTTGCGGCGTCGGAGGGACTTTGACGGCGATAGACAACCTCGGACAGATCGGAACTTCCCTCGGATACCCGAAAAGAACGATTAGCACCTTCGTTTCCCTTGTCAGCATATGGAATTACCTCGGCCGGGTGTTCTCCGGCTTCGTCTCGGAGATATTCCTCAAAAGATACAAATTCCCTCGTCCTCTTATGCTCACACTGATCATGTTGTTGTCCTGCGTTGGACACCTCCTCATCGCCTTCGACGTCTCCGGTGGCCTCTACGCCGCGTCGATCATCATCGGATTCTGCTTTGGCGCGCAATGGCCGTTGCTTTTCGCCATAATTTCCGAGCTTTTCGGACTAAAATACTACTCGACGCTCTACAACTTCGGCTCGGTGGCGAGCCCGATCGGGCTGTATGTTCTCAACGTGAGGCTAACGGGACATTTGTACGACAAGGAGGCGAAGAGGCAGATGGAAATCAAGGGACTCGTGAGGAAGGCCGGGGAACAGTTGAATTGCGATGGAGTCAAGTGTTTTCAGTTGTCGTTTATTATAATTGCAGCTGTAGCGTTGTTTGGGTCGCTTGTTTCTTTGATCTTGGTGGTTAGAACTAGGAAGTTCTACAAGAGTGATATTTACAAGAAGTTTCGAGAGGAAGCGAAGAAGAACGAGATGGAGATGGCGCTGGCTGAGAACGGCATCAAGCCATCTCAATCCAACGAAAAGTAAAAGAGATCATTATGTTCATTTATCAGTGAAAAAAAATACAGGTGTACGATTTTACACGTTGCAATGATTTTACGATACCGGATTATACGAATTCATCTTAAAACTGTGTACTAAAAAAATAGGCTTAGAGAAAAGGATAAGTTAGACTTGGTTTGTATGGAAACTCATGTATAAGAGTCAAAAGCCTGCCGTTTCTTTGCTTTCTTTTTTCGGTCTTCTTATTTTGTTAGCTAGCATGGTATATAGAAGTCCAAGTATTGAATGCCAAATCTATACACTTTCGGGGTTTTCAACACTACTACAATACAACGCTTTCCAAATTATACTAGTTGTTAGCTGTCAGCATGCAATTATACAAAGAACGTGGGCCAGTGAAGCTTTGACTTGGGAAAAGATTGTGTCCTTTTCTTTTGATGGTCCCTTCCGATTGTAGAGAGACAACTGCAATACTTTTGGGTCGTGGGTTTTGCTGTCATAAGAAAATATTATATTTCGAAGTTTGGACCATTCAAAACAGTATTACAATACTATTCAACTGTGTCGGCACCGGTTAATATCAAGCATCGCATCGCACACTAATAAAAGATGAATTCTGGTTATTTTGATTTTAAAATTTAAATTTTATTATAATAAAAAAAAATTATATTTAATTTTTTTATTATAATAAAAATTTTTATATAAAATCACATCTAATAAAAATTAATTATATTTAATTTTTTTATTATAATAAAAAATTTTATATAAAATCACATCTAAATTTAAATTAAAAATTTGAATCAACAAACTAAACAAATTACTTGTGTATAGACGTGTTCTAAATATCTTTCATTCAACTCAGATATACTTGAATTGGACTAGCCTTTGCATTTGTCCTCTAGCTGCCTCTAGAGCCTCAAATTAATTCGACATAAAATTTTTTAGAATAATGTTAAGGGATACTAATTGTACCGAACACCACGTATTGACAAACGATGAGTCACGCAACGCGAAATCCATGAATAGAACTCACTCGGTTCCGTCAAAAACTTTTCAAATAGCTAAGCTCTCCCATAAATCTTTATTTTGTATTGTGGTTCAAGACAATATTTCACTTGGTTGTGAGGTTAAGGATGAGAGTCAAACATGTCTGCCTCGTCGTCGCTTTAGAACTCCGCAAAGTCCCGAGTCCTTAATTACTAGATTATATATATTGCTGACTATATATTGAAGAAATATCAGACCTCCTAGTCAAAACTAACCTATATTGAAAATTATTAGTAGCCACGTACTACCTTAATTTCCGCTTTGGAACAGGAATGTGTTCGTCATTAATATTTATCAGGTTTGGAATTGATCCCGTTTTTATTTTTTTACGTTTTTTAAAAAATAAAAAATAAAAACGTTTTTAAAACGGTGTTTGATGCAATAAAGACAAAAAATGAAAATGAAAACGATTTTTCATTTTAGGGTACTAACCTATAAGGACTTTTAGTCATTTTTCATTTTTTGTTTTCGTTTTCTTCTCTCTCGAACAGAGATAAAGAAAGAGAGACATTAATCGATTTTTTTACACTGAAAATAATCTCTTAATAAAATTACTAAACACACTTTTAAAAATAATTTCTAGCTAAAATTAAAAACGTTTTTATTTTTATTTTTATATAAAAAATAAAATTATTTTAAAATTAGTTCCAAACACGCCCATTATTTCACAATATATCTATGTTGCATTACAGTTTTTTTTTCCCCCCGCTAAAGTTGATTATCAGTAATATTGGATCTACTGATCACTGCTCGATTATAATTTTTTTTTTTACCTGTAGATTATGATTACACGAATGTAAATGTGTTTCAATAATTGGGTACCAAAAAGAAAATGTGAACATATCAGCCCTCATTACTGAATCTGACTCCTGACTGCAGCTATGCAGCGTACTTTCGGCCGCGTTTTCAGTTTACACGCACTTGCAATATTCATATAGGATACATAGTACCCATACGTACATATAAGTAGCATCTATAACGGTTTAAATAACACTAGTGTAAGAATCTCATCCCTATATTTTATTTTATTTTATAGTTGACACTGTTAATCACTAAACTATAAATATTATGGTAATCTAATCCATGAATATTAATCTCGATAATTTATTTTCTAAACTTTTTGTTTCGATAATTTTGATCTCGTAGACGTTAAACTTAACCAGCGTTTGGTGAAATTTAACGTAGATAATCACATACTTATTGCACAATAACTAAAAATGTTAAATAAATAGTTACAATAATTACAAAATATTATAGTTTTTAGTAATAAAGTGAAAATTTTACATATAAGGAAACTTCTTTTTTTTTATAAAAAAAAAGTTATTATGCAATGAGCACGTAATTATCTTTGTTAAATTATAAAAATTTATTATCAATTTTAATTTTTAGGACCAAAATTATCTTAAAATGAAAGTTTGTGTATTAATATGTCAAAAGTAAAAGTTCAATGAGCAAACTATTATGCTCAAATTTTACGGATTAATAGTGCCGGTTTTCTTTTTTTTTTTTTCTTTTTTTTTTAATGGTTTGAGGAGAAGAAGTAGAAGAAGAACAAGAAGACAGATTACCCTTTGTCATGTGGTGTGTGTTGGGATTAAAGGAAACTTAAGGAGGAGGGAGTCCAAGACAAAAAATAAATGAATAAATAAATAAAGGTATATATAAATGGAATTGTTTATTGTGCCAACTACAGAGTTGAAGGAAAATCATAAAGAAATGCTACTTGAGATTTCTAGGCCTCATGCTTATTGGGCTTCTCATCCTTTAATTGGATTACAAACAAGTAAATAATCACAGGAATCCATTAATGACAATGACAAGTACTCTTCCAAATTTTAAATTTAGAATTTCATAAAGATTCATTTCCCCTTGAAATTTGAATTATTCAATCATGCATTATATCATCCTAAGAACCATTTCTCTTAATCTTAATCTGTTTCTTCCCGATTAAGCCACTAAAGCAGAAATACCAAATTATTAGTTTTCGTTTGGATTCTCTCTACCAAACGAAAGTATGCCGTGATATGATGGGTTTTTGAGTAAACCTATGTAAACCAAATTAACTCCTTAGAGTTTCACAAAATATAAAATAAAAGAGCGTTGCTATTTGGCTCCGGTCTTTAATGGCTCTGGATAGCTCCACATGACGTGGCAAGTACACGTTTCTTCTCATTTTGCCTTCTGTATCATTTTCTCAAATTTCTTTTTAATCTCATTCATTTTGTGGATTTTCAACATTTTTTTTTAATTTTTAATTATAATAATAAAATTAAATGTAATATTTTTTTCGAAAGTATTAAATTGTAAAAATTTAAATTAAAAACTCGCAACTCACTCCACCACCGCAAATGCCCTTGGTCTTCTTCATTTTCTCTATCTACACAAATCCACCATAACCACTTCTTTGCACTCCATCTCTTCCTATTCTTCTTCTCTCTGTGCTCTATCCATGGCCGCCATCATCGGGCGTCGACGACACTCTCTACACAAATTTGCTTCTCTTGACGTGAATGTGGATGAATGGGAAAAAGTCTGCTGTGCATGTTCATGTTCATCGGAGCAAAATTTTCTGAAGATCTGGATCTAAAACTATGTACGTTCTTCTTTGCGGTTTTGATTGCAACTAACCCCATACTAGAGACGGTTTTCTGCTAAAATGTGAAATAGAGATATGAAACTAAAGAGGGTTTGTGCTAGAAAAATTGTTCACAATTTCTTTTCCCTAATACTCAATCTGGACTACGAGGAGGAAAGTGTGATCCAGATGAAAGTTATATATTTCATTTGGTGAAGGCAAAACCAAAATTTTTAACCAAAAAATATATAAAAAAAAATGGAATGGTGATTTTTTTTTTACTTTTTTTATGAGTGAAATATTGCGAGTTAAAACGGAAATTTACAGAAATTCATCCACATGAAGCAAATATTACAAAGCTTCACTGTTCTTTTCCAAATACTCTGTGAAGTCGCGTAAAAAGAGAGCACGAGGAGGGAGAGAATAATTACAGAAAAACGGTCCAACTAGAATAAAAAAATAATTGTTATTTAAAAAAAAACAAGCAAGTATAATATCGTGCAAAGTTCCACTTCAACATCAACTTTTAAAGTAATAAACGGGGGCCCCCCCCCCCCGGGTCCCAGGGGTGTCCCGAGGATCCCGGGGGTGTCCCAGGGGCCCCGGGGGTCTCGAGAGTGTCCCGGGGGTCCTGGAGATCCCGGGGGTGTTCCGGGAGTCCCGGGAGTCCCAGGGGTCTCAGGGGTATCATGAGGGGGCCGGGGTCCCAGGAGTCCCAAGGGTCCCGGGGGTGTCCCTGGGGTCCCGGGGGGTCCTGGAGATCCCGGGGGTGTTCCGGGAGTCCCGGGGATCCCGGGGGTCCCAGGGGTCTCGGGGGTATCATGAGGGGGCCGGGGTCCCAGGAGTCCCAAGGGTCCCGGGGGTGTCCCTGGGTCCCGGAGGTCCCGAAGGTGTCCCGGGGGTTCCGTAGGCCCCAGGGTGTCCCGGGAGTTACGGGACACCCCCGGGGCACCCACGAGAGACCCCCGTGAGAACCCCGGGAGTCCCCCGGGGCACGCTCGGGGCACCCCCGGGGCACGCTTTGGGCACCACAGGGGCACCTCCGGGACAACCCCGAGAGACCCCCGGGGCACCCCCTGCACACCCCGAGGCACCCCCAGGACACCCCCGGGACTTCCCTGGGGCACCCTCGGGACACCCCCAGGGCACCCCCGGGGAAACCCTTCCCCCGGGACACCCCAGGGGAGAACCCCCGGGAGGCCCCAGGGAGACCCCCGAGCGACCCTCGGGATGTTGGGAATAGTGTCCTAGAAGCATGAGATGTAATAGGATATTTATTATTTAATTAATAAAAGAGTTTATTCATCATTTTATGTGCATATATTTATGAATATTTTATGAATATCAAATGAAAATT